GAAAAGTCTTCATGTTGATCTGATTATAACCTGTTCTGGGGAAAAAAAAAAACAACCCTTAGCATAATAAAAATGATTTAAAATATAATTCAAATGCCTGTAATATTTAATGTATTTGGTTAAAATTTTTCACCATTAAAAAATGTTTTTTTTGGTTAGCTGTCTCCATAATACAACCTGGATTAAAAAAGCTCCTAAATATCCCTGATTGATCCACTGAACAGAATCTGGTTCCTTTCCCAGCATCACATGATGCTCCTTCAATTAATTCTGGCAAAGAACATCACATTTACAGTACTTTCAAAGACTTTGGAGATAAACATTTGGCTTACCTCAAAAAATTATTGCCAACAATGAAGAGATTCTACCAAAACATGTGGTGAGCTACACAAATATAAGTTATTAAGAAAAATCAGAACAAATCATGGATTAGTGATGGTTCACAACTTGTGACAATGAAACTTGTGTCCATATCCCAACAGTGATAATCACACTGCAGCCCTTCCAGAAACCAACCTCAATATGGACACATGGGAACTACCTGTCCCAAGCCTGGGACTTGGACTATCCATAGGCTGCATGGCAAGCTAGGAGCCAAGTGCCAAAAAGCAGGCTATCAGGAGGCAACAGCAGGTCAGAGATAGCAGATAGCAAGAGTGGGACCACTGACCACCTCTGGTCAAAAAGTTCCTAATGTGTCCTGCTTATCAAAATTACGATTTTAATAACAAAAAAAATCAAAACTAGCCTCTCTGATCAATGTATTTATTTATGCTGATTGGACATTCTTTGAAAGATACAAGTGACCTCAAGAGTTAAGTACCGAACAGCTAGCCACACGGAAAGGAGACCTTTCCTGTAAAAAGTCTCAGAGCCTTCCAGAGCTCTGGAATTTGCAACAGTGAGTGTGTTTTATCTACCAAAACTCATTTCTATCAAATTAGCAAATATATAGTTTGAGAAAAAAATTCATTTTTCTTTCTAAGTTTATTCAGCAAAACTAAGGAAATAAAAATTAATGTAGCCTGGTATTTTAAAGTCAGGCCACTTTTATTATTAAAGTAACCCAGGCACATCCAAACACTACAAATATGTATAAATTTAAAATTTTAAAAGTAGGGTAAATTCTACAACATGTGAACTGTATGTAAAACCATTACTGCAAAAAACCTTGTAAGATACAATCTCCCTAACACCCCTAGGTAACTGCTTAGAGCTTCTTGAAACATCAGTGAGACAGGGCTGCAATCTGTATAACCAGTCCGGCATTAATAAACAGTTTCATTATACAATAGCTTCTTTTCTTCCTGTTGGAAAAAAAGCTGCAACAAGTGTTATTTTCTGTGTACTCATTTGCACAAACCACCAAGATACCTTCTCAACCGTGGAGTTCTGGGAGGAGCATACAATATATGTGCACTGGACATGATGGCAGCTCCTGCCAGACTGCCCTCCTGCAACTTCAGCTGCTCCAGGTTACCCTTCACATTTCAGGGCAGGAGGACCTCCTTCATGTGTTCATAGCATTGGTTATCAAACATTTTAATATAAGCTTTCTATAATGTCGAAATTATTTTCAAGGAGATGGGAAATTGAGTAGGTACCTTTTTAAATAAAAAAGTAATTCCCACATATGTTAAATTTTCACACAGCACAAAGAGGTCTTTTGACCTGCTCTAGCCCTCCATCCAGAACAAGTGTTCATAATCTCTTGGGTTCCTCTAAAACTAGTCTACACATCTAAGGCATGTCACTGAGTGTAAAACATCCTCCCATTTTGAAAAAAACACTATGGAAGCATTATACCACATTTTGATTTTCTACTCAATCTAATTTAGAGGTAGTTTCACATCAACATACACTAAACTACCTCAATTCTCTTTCATATCTATACATCATTCCATTATAAAGAGCTGTGATCTAGCCAGTTCCTTACTGAGAGAAATTTATCTCAGTAAATTATAACTGCTTTCTGCAATTATAATGCTGTAAGAATATTCTGGGGCAAATTTATCTTTTTACATAGGCAAGTGTTTCAGACAGATATACTTTCACAATTGGCACTGCTGAATGTGTTGTCACATCTAGAGATGCTCAATTATCCAGGAGTTGTATCAGGATTACTTAACTCTCCATCTCTTTAGTTCTGAGTGAAGGTAAACACCTGCCATAGGATTAGATGCCTGTTAAGAAATGTCCTTTTCTGTCTGCCCATTTTCTATTGAGCTACTGCTACTGTTCTCAACCATGATGAATTTCATACACAGCAGGTCCTCGAATAACATTGTTTTGTTCAACACCCATGAGATGCTGTAAGAACTTTACTCTTGTTTGTATCTATTACTAGTGTATGGTCAAACTGGTTTCTTCATACATCATTTCACTTAAAGTTGCAGTAGCCAATGACAATGTTAAATTAGGAATTACTGTGCAAAAGAAACTAGCCCATCATATACACTGCAAATATTTTGCCCCAGTGTATGGTGTTATTTTATATATGGGTGTTTTTCATATGCTAATATCTTGAGTTTTCCTATGGACAAATGTATCCATCTTTCTCTTATAGCTTCTAGACTTTATAATATCTGAAGATGACAAAAACAAATTTATTTTTGGGGATCCAACTTAGCTAATTTTTCCAACTGGCTAATCCATAGTTTCCAACACTATTCATTGAAATCCCATCTTCTATGTTCTGACTGAATACACACCATCAAAATAAACTAAATTACTACATACATTTCAGTCTCTTTCCATCTCAGTTTCTCCATTTATCTGTTCTCTGTCATTAAATTAATCAGGCCATTTAAAAAGGGCACTGACCAGCCTGACCAGTGTGGCTCAGTTGGTTGGGCATCATCCCGCAAAGTGAAAGGTCACTGGTTCAATTCCAACAGCTTAGGTTGCAGGTTTGTTCCCGGCTGGGGCACGGACAAGAGGCAATCAATCCTCTCACACTGATGTTTTCCCCCTCTCTCCCTCCCTTCTCCTCTCTCTAAAAATAAATAAAATCTTTAAAAATAAATAAAATGTGCACTGATCTGATTTAGTAGAAATGCTAAGATTTGTGTGCCATAAAACTACATTAACTAAAACTGAAATTTCAACCCATATACCTGTATACCTATCAGATTTTCTGAAAGTCAGTATCACAAGGTAATGGCCACTTTATTTAATCATTTTCAGGTTATTGAAGAATTAAACTCAGAATACAGAAACTTATCATTTCCAAGCCCCATCTGATGATGAGTCCCAAGAGATAAGTGTTTGCTAACGGCATTTTTAGTTAATTCAAAGATTCGATGCCAAAAGCACACTGTTATTAAAGAGTGTCTTTGAGTCCTGGCTGGTGTGTCTCAGTGAATTGAGCGCCAGCCTGCGAACCAAAAGGTTGTGGGGTTTAATTCCAGTCTGGGCATGTGTCTGGACTGCACGCCAGGCCCCAGCTGCTGGCATATGAGAAGCAACCAATCAACTTTCCTCTCCCTTTTTCTCCTCTTTCCCTCTAAAAAAATAAATAATATTTTAAAAAAGAATGTATTTGAAAATGAATTATTTTAAGGTTTGTTTTTTTTTAAAGATTTTTTATTTATTTATTTTTAGAGAGGAGAAGGGAGGGAGAAAGAGGGAGAGAAATAGCAGTGTGTGGTTGCCTCTCACACACCCCTTCCTGGGGACCTGGCCTGCAACCCAGGCATGTGCCCTACCCAGGGAATTGAACCAGCGACCCTTTGGTTCGCAGGCCTACACTCAAACCCATTGAGCCACACCAGCTAGAGCAAAAAGTGAATTCTTAATTCAATCACTTTTTAAGAGTACTAGTTTAAACAGAATTTACTGCCACAACGATATATCCTTTAAAATGTCTTTTGGGGGTGGGAAAATGCCTTTCTTTGGATTTCGTTTTTCCCTGCTTTCCTCACATCAAGATCAGTCCCTTCCCAATCTTCAACTAAGGAATCTGAATGGTATCAAACCCCTCCATTGATTTCTAGTCATACTTGTGTTGGAGAATTAGGGAAAAGAAAAAATTAAAACAGTGACTCTAAATCATGCATTCTCAGTGGGGGAGGGGTGAAAACAGGTCTTAAAGCGTATCTTAGATATTACAATGATTTGTGGCATGGAAAGAATCACTGTACATAAACTGATATGCAGCTCATCTTTGGTATCATAGATATCATGATATCTAGAATATCATGGAGGGGAGGAGGACAAATTAAAAAAAATGGTTTAAAAAAGATTCCTCTGGGAGGCAATAATAAACAAGTTGTACTAAATTGCAAAAATTTAAGTCTGATAATACAAAGTGTGGGTGGGGATATATACACTGTTATTGGGGGTGTAAATTGCTATAACTACTTTATCAAACAGTACAGGGAAAAAAAGGACATTACAGAACTCCTTGAAAGGATGAACATGTACATCCCTTACAAGCTACAAATTCCTCCCCTAGGAATTTATCCTAGATAATAGAATATATCCTAGATAAATCCTTGTACACATGCACCAAGAAGATATTCAGGAATATTCACAAATTCTTCATAATAGAAAAAGTAAAAATAAAAACAGAATCAACCCAATTGTCTATGAATAAAGAATGGATAGTTTGGGGAACACTCAACAATGAAAACAAACCATATCCAACAAAATGAACAAACACAAACATAGTACTGAACAAAAAAATAACTATCTATACTATGAAATCATTTTTATAAGCCTCAAAAACAAGCAAGAACATAGTATTCAAAGAATCATAAAGATACGTAAAAAATAATTTTAAAGGGAAACAATATATACAAAATGCAGAATAGTGTTGGGGTGATATACAAACTGGAAGACACAAAATGGCATTGGCTGTGTTCTAGCCCTGAGCTAGAGTAGTGGAATAACAAACATTTATTTTGTTTGCTTCATAACTTACATATGTTGCATTATTCCTGTTAGTTCAGTATTTGGCTCTTCATAGTAAGGACTAATTAACACCAAATAAAACTTACATCCAATTCAAAAAACAGGTCCCTTTCTTTACTTGCAATCTCATAATCTGCTCGGAGGGCCAAGTCGTGGATTTTGGTACATTCTCCTAAATCCATGCGCTGTAAGAAACAAACAAGTTTACACATGAACATCTACCCATTAGAAAGCACATGACCTGGTGTCTCAACTGTCACCAAAATAAACAATACTTTTTTGAATACTAAACTGTGATAAGAAAATTAAGAAACAGAATATGGTTGAGAAGCCGTATTTTTCTTTGACCACTATGACTATATGGTACTTGATGCATTTAGGAGTATAAAGGTTTACATCTTTTAGACCCAGAGATAATTAAACTAATAATGAAAACCACATTAACTAGCTTTGCCAATTTTATTTTTGCATTAGTCACAGAAATATCTATTCAATTAACAGTAGAATCAGAGGTTGGCCTGGGGCAAAGAAAAGGACAGAAACAAGAGCGTCGTGATAGCAACAAGCTTCTAGGCATACCTACTTGCAATCTTTACTACTCCAGATGCTCAGGTTGCAGAGACAAGAAAAGGAAAGAGCAGATAGAAATCTAGTTTTTGGCAATTACAACAGAACCTGACACTTGGCTTCTGTATAGCTCTTTGTATAACAAAGGGAATAAAGCAGAATAGGCTGATTCAGAGCCAAATGAATCCTCCTAAATTCTTCTAACCTGGTAGGTAAAGACCCCAGACAAATAACTGGGCCATTTAGTTGCCCCATTTGAGAAACAAAAGGCTCTTTTACTGAAACAAATAGTCTGTGTTACAGTGAGATTAGCCTGATGTGCTATTACTTATAAGCACATGTAGAAAAATTAATACGTTGCATAGTTCTTATCTAAACCCTGAGTACAAGACTCCATACAGACACACTCCACCTCTGACCATATAAACAGCAACAGAGAAGTTTTCATGCTGAGAATCATACTAAAAACGGAGTGCAAGTTAACAAAACCCAACATCCCAATGAGGCACCTGAGTCCAAGTTACTGAACAAAAGCACATGTCTGCATTAACTATTAAAAAATGATGGAATCTAGGAATTCCTTTTAGCTCAAACCCTGTTCAAAATGAGATCAAAGCTTTTCTGGGTTACAAAATCCTTACCATTTTAGGCAAATCAGAGAAGCTTGCAGTTTCTGGCTCTTGGGCCCTATCTAACAGAAGGGTGTGTACCATACTCACTAACAAAATACCCTTTAGCATCACCACAGATAGCAAACACTGACAGTGGGCAGCCTAGTGTGGAGTTTATCTTTATTTCTACCAAAGACAGACTTTTGCATTTAAATGCTAAAACCTCTTTTCTCCTTCATCATTCTTACTCTGAAGTCACACATTATCTCATGTACCGCATTTTTGTGATGTATAATATGCCCTGTTTAGCCCAAACTTTTGAGGGAAAATAGTTTGTATAATACAAACTATTATACAATAGTTTGTATAATAGGCAAACTTTTGAGATGCCTATTATACATGGGTAGTACCTGAAATACCTTGTATCTGGCTCTTGTGTTTTGTAATTACTTATTACATAGTATTTCTTGTACCATAATATGTTCAAAAATAAATGCTAAAGTTCCTTTATAATATAAAAAAACAAGTATCTAAATATAAGTAAATAAATACTTGGGTTAAAAAATTAAAACAGAAGATTTTTTTCCTGAAAGTTTCAGTCAAAAATATGGGTGTGCGTTATACACAGGAGTGCATTACTCATGGCAAGATACTGGTATATTGGTTATAGAGGCGATCTAGAGGTAGGGCAATAATAGTTTTAAAAGCCAAAGTTGCAATTAGAATCACAGTCCCCATAAGGCTGACTTTTGCTTCATTCACTCTTTTAAGTACTAAATATAATTCTTTAATATATATAGTTTAATCCTCACTGGTATGGCTCAGTGGGTTGGGCGTCACTGCAGGTTTAGGTCCAGATCAGGGCACATGCCTGGGTTGCTGGCCGCATCCTAGCTGGGGGTGTACTAGGAGCCACAGATTGCTGTTTCTCTCCCTCTTTTTCTCCCTCCCTCTAAAAATAAATAAAATCTTAAAAATACCTATTTTTAAATAAAACATATAGTTTCCACAAATGAAACTGTGCTATAGCTGAAAATTGAGTGGAAGCTATCAGAAATGCTTACAAGCTAATGAAATCTCTGTTGCTCAAAGAAAAACGGTCCACCAGAGGAAGTAAGCAGTAAAACCCTAAGTACTAAAAACTATAAGTGCAAATCAACTTCCACTCTAAAAAGTGCCAAATATCAAGTAAGTTTTGACGTTCGGTAACCACAAGTGCAGCCAAATTCACCACTTTCTTCCTTTGGGTGACAGCTCTCAGACACTGCTAAAGAAAGTAGAGGATAGGCCTCGGTTCGCGACTACTCTCTGCAAGCATCTTTTCAGCTTAGCCCAGAAGACACAGAAGTACTGGCCAATTCCCCTGGCAGCTAAACACCAAGCGGAGCTGAAACACCACACTCAGATCCTTCAAAAATATCCCAAGTGGCTATTAAATCCAGCACCTAAGATCTTTTTTACTGCACAAACGCCTGTTTTCTCCACACTCTAGTCATCTCACATTGCTGACAGGGAAGGTCACTAAAGTCTCTTTCCAAAACCTTTGGAAAACAAAGTTCTTCCACTGAGACAAGTTATACTACTTTCCCTTCCAACCACTTTATTTTTCCAAATGTACTAACCAATACCATATTTTCCCATTAAGCCCCAATAAAATTATTACTTCCATTACCCTTTGCCTCAGCCTCATTAATAACAGGAGATGGTTTTGAACAAAAACTTGGGCCCAGAGTAGCCCTTAGCAGCCTGAGAGTTATAACCACTTTCATCTTGCTGCTCCACTCTGAAGAATTACATTCATTCCCATTCAACACAAAAGACAAACTCCCCACAAGACCCATCATTCAACTCTACTCCTCATCTCCCACTTCCATGTAGCCCATGCCCAATGAGGATCAACATTTACAACAACCTCCCCTTGAATTCCCAATTCTTATCCTCATCCCTTGGCAGCTCCTGAGATTTATCTGCATCTTCACATGAACATGTTTCCTAGGTTTTCTCTTTCTCCTCAGTCTGCTCCTTCTCAAGTCCCCTTTGCTGAGCTGCCCCTGCCCAACCCCATACAGGAGTGAATCTGATCAGTCTGTAGTGTATCATCACTCATTCAATTCCACAGCCTCTGTCTCCCTCTTCCCCTCACTCACGCCAGTCCAGATGTAACAGTGGCATTCCTGCTGTCCTTCAGCTCCATCTTCTTACCCAGAGCATTATATGCCCAAACCAGATACATGTGGTCTTTCTCGCCATTCAGGTCTCTACTCCAATGTTCCTAAGAGGCCTTACCTTATCATCCTATCTAAGAGTCCATTATCTATTTCTTATTTACTGTCTGTCCTCTTCTACCATTAGATGAAAGTAAAAACATTGTCTTACTGGCAACATATCGCCTGTGTCTGGCACAGAGGAGGGGTCCAGTAAATATTTGAATTAATCTACAGCTAACACAGTAAGCATTTATAGGAAAGATACTCATTCAGGTTATTTTACTCACCAGCATTCTGGAATAATGATATATAGGGACCTGACCAAGAAAAATATGGCTAAAATGCTTCACTTGGGTGCATGTCCCTCTTCTCCCTTTCACTTCTTCCACTAAGATCTATCAACAATTCTAGGTTATGAATCTTCCCACATGAGTATCCTACGGCTGAGCTATTTATGACTAATGGAAGCCGGACATCTACATTGATGGATTTGTTTGGCTCTAAATTAGCCTATTCTGCTTGACTTCCTCTGGTATACAAAGGGTGACACAAACAATCTGCAGCAAACTCAAATTATAATGCTTTCCTACACAATGTCAAAGTGCAGACAAGCCTCAGGTAACAGTCAAAAGGTTTGGCATTCATTTCCCATTTGCTGTCAGAAAAGCCAGCTTGAGAATACTTAATACATCCGAGCAGTTTTCCAGCGGCTGCTCCCACCATGACTGTGTTAATAAAACAATGATTAATCACAAAGATGTTCACCAGTATAAGCACACCTGACTCTTGAAATGAGAAGACAGTTTTTATATCCACAAGGTAGGTGTGAAATCTTAAAATGGTGCTGATCTTTATAGGACTCCTTTTCTGTAAATGGTGAATGATGGTAGATAATCCTCCACTCTTTAGTCTTCTTAAATCCTATCTAATTTTGAATAAATGCACATTCTACAAAACTAGCACTTACCTGTTTGATTCATCTGGTCAACTTAAAAATTTTAGGGGTCTGGTGGGGGGTAGGCAGAGACAAATGTATTTGAAAAAATAAATTAATTAATTTAAAAAAAGAAAATGAGAAATCAAAAAAAAAATTTTAGGGGTCTATATTTATTGGATATGTTACTTTCTTGAAAGGATGACATAATACAAAACTAAAACATTAATGTTATTCTCAACTGGTTTTTAGAAAACCTAAAAATCTGGGGATGAAATGTATCGTGTTAGATAAACTGTCTAGCATCATGTTTAACTTGAAAACAAATCAACCAAGCCCAGGTCTTCAAAGAACTATAGGCTGTCCTGAGGTATACTTTTTGCTATAGCCAAATGAGACTACTTGTACTACTTAGCTGTGAATATTTCCATATAAATGACCTCACAAAAACCTGGTAACTTCAAAGAGAGAATACTGTAACAGTAAAATGTTCCCCAATATAAAATTCCACTAAACTAACAAATCTATCATTTGAAGGGGCAATAAAGGTGACTTCTACCTGATCAAGGAAAACCAAATTCAACTTGGAAAACCTATACTGTCTACACCGCACCCATGAGTGTTCTGTGATTCCTCCCCCACCCAATGCACCTACCGTCCCAGCCAGGATGTCATGGGGGCAGCAATCCAGAAGGTGGCTCTTGCACACTCGGTCATCTGTAAACTTCACCCTCTGTCTGGTCTCATCTCCTGAAATTTATTTGTGGTTTTAAATAAGATAATACCACGTTAAACACAAAAGCACATCTGGTACAATTCACCTGGATGATTTGCAGACTACCAAATACACTGAAAAGCTGATTTAGAGATATTTACAACTGGAGCAGAATACAGATGTTTTCTGACGCTAAATGTATCCTGAAGAATCACTTAATGAGATCCGACTCCGTCATTGTGCCAAAGAAGTCAAGGAGTCAAAAGTAAAAGGCTGAGTACCAAAAGGCCATTAGCCCCACACATACATGTGGGCAATGAAATACCAAAACCCATGTAATCAGAGGGCCATGAATCACCATGTATGACCAATAACTGGTAGTTTCCACCAACAAAAGCTACTTGTTAATCTTATCGTTTTGCTGTGGACGAACGTATAGGCAGTATTTTGCCCAAAAACACAAAGAAAGCTTTCAAACTCTACCACTGACTAATAAATAATCTAGACTTAGTTTTCTCATCCCCCTTTCACCCCCACCCTTAAAAAAGAGAGTTGGCACCTGGGAGTCACTGTTAACAAGACAATACTAAAAAAAGAGAAAAAAAAGAAAAAGAAAAAAAAAGAGGCAAAAAAGAACTAGGTTAGTCAATACACACTGTGAGTTCCAACATATACTGTACCCATCTGCATTCTTCAAGACCTCAGCTGCAGAATTTTATGCCCGCTGTTGAAAAGTTTTAAAGGAAAAGTTTTCTTGCCCAACCTGCAGTAAGGAAGTCAGGGGAATGATACATAAAAGTAAAGGCAAAGTGGAATGTGACAAATTTTAAAGCTAATCTGTGTATACGACACAGAGCTGTGTAATACTAAAGGAGGAATATATTTTAGGATTTGCAAGCATCCAGGATTAATGTAGTGTCTTTTTATTGAAAATGTTTTCTTTCTAAACTACACTTTTAAAGTTACTTGTGAAAAAAAGCAAACACTTTTTTGTTATAACAGCTTAGAAATTGGTTGTGACTCACGGCTCGATGAACATGAGGCTTTTCTGCAACTCCCTTGCAGATTGATGTAGGCAGGCAAAGATACACTGAACCTTTATAAATAAAATAGAGGGGCCACAATTGTTCAGTTTGTATGAAATAAAAATATGGGAAGCAATTCAAAAGCAACTCAATATACAAAGAAAGCTAAAAAGCACTTATTCACCTATGAAATATAGTGCAAAGAATTTGCACAGCCCTGCGAATGTGCCAGTGTGAACTTACAACTTCATTACCTCAGTAGAAAACACAAACCACAGCAGGTGTGTAGTTTTGCAAAGATGCAACCGCTTTTTCCTGAAACAACCATCATGATCTTGCACTCCTCCCTACAATACAACCTACCTAACGACTGACAAGCGCTGGCTGAAAGAAGCGATCCTGCATGGTTGGGAAGGGGGCTTGGAAAAGCACTAGGCAGAAACCCACGTAAGAAAAGCTCAATTTGCGGCTCTCCTTGCAACGGTACAGAACCAGAACGGCCGGGGTTCGAGGCCCATCGGCTCCCTCATGTGAAGCTTCTCCCAGGCTGCCAGCGATCTGGAGCCCATGTTATCTCCAGCTCTTCGCCGTCTCCCCGGTTGGAAAAACTGCGGCGCCCACCGGGTTGGAAATGGCAGAACCGCAAAAGGGAAAGGGGCTAGACCCCCACAGACGGAGCAGGCTCGAAGGGTGGAGCCCGCCGAAGAACTGCCGCAGGTGGGAGAAAAGCCAGCCGAACCCGCTCAGACAAAGGCCCGGCGACTACTGTCGGCGCGTGGGGCGGGGGTGGGGGAGAGCGCAGGCGCAGACGGTCGCTGCCCCCGCCTTAGGCCGCCCGGCGGCCTCGCCTCACTCCCGCCCCAGCCCCTCGCCTGGCCGGCCGCCCCGACTCACCGTCCCGGGCCGTGCCCATAAGCTGGTCCAGCAGGGCCCGCATCTGCGCCTGGGCGGACATGGTGGCCGGCGGGGGCAGCGGGGGCGGCGGGGACGGCCGCGACGGGTACTCTGAAGGCAGCGGCAGCGGCAGCAGCGATGACGAAGGATGGTCGCGTCGGCCTCGAGCCCACTCGGCTACTTCCTGTTGCGGGGGGACGACGGGAGGAAGTGCATAACCTCTGCCCTTTGGCCTGCTGGGAAATGTAGTTTCGAGGCTCGGTGGGTGTAGGACTTCACTCTGCAGGAGTGAGGCTGAGTTCTTCAAGTGTTGTTCAAGGAGCGGAACCAATCTCTAGTCTGATTCTATTCTGGAGCCCAAGACCTGTATGTTCTACAGAGGCTAACCTGTATAAAACAAAATGAATATAATTACTTATTTTTTAGAGAGAGTGGAGGAGAGGGAGAAAGGGAGAGAAACAGAGATCAGTTCCTCCTCCTTCGTACCTGTCATGGACCCAACTGCAACCTAGGCACGGGCCCTGACCCGAATCCAGCGTCTGGCTACCTTTCCCTTTGCTGGATGACGCCCAACCAACTGAACTACACCAGTCAGGGCCAAAATTAATATTCACAAACTAAACAAGAAAATAAATCCCGTGGGATTTTTGCTTGCCAATTTCAAAAGTAATGAGTCTTTACCCTGAACAGGAATCTGCAGGTCCCAAAGAAGGAACTTTCATGTCCTGTGTCCAGACAGAAAGCTCTACAACAAAAGTTCTAAGATTATAACAACCCTTCCCCACACACTTCCCCTTCCCCTCTATAAAAGACTTTCCGTTGTTTTCTGTGAACTTGCATCTGATACACTATTGTGACAAGATCTGTAATGCAATCCTGTCTTTATTCCCGAATAAATCTTTTTTTTTTTTTTTTTTTGCTAAAAGAATACCTGGCTGATTTTTTGTTGGCAGTCAACACATGTGAAGGCTCATCTAGGTTCCAGAGAAGATGCCCAATAGCACTGGGCTGGTGAGCAAACAAATGTGGCACCTACGGAGCCAGCCATTTGAACACAGTTTTTCCCTCTTAGGAGCTTCAGGATAAATTTTCTCTTGAGTCCAAGATTTCACTCCTCTTGTGTTTTAAAGTTCATTGGACTTTACTCAAAACCTGTTTAGAGGTTTCTTTTCTTTTTCTATTAAAACGACTTGTTTGTCTCTGAGCTCTCTTCCACACTTTTGCCTAATTCCCTACCGCAGGGGTCTCCAACCCTGCCTGCTGAGGACTGGTATGGAGCCTTGGCCTGTTAGGAACCAGGCCAAAAGCAAAGCTAGCCTGAGCTCCGCCTCCTGTCTCCACCCCAACCCTTCCATCAACAGCAGGGAAGGGGAAAGGAGAGGGAGTGAAGCTCATCTGATGTCACAGAGAAGTTCCAGGCCCAGCATTTAAACTAAGGGCAGGCTGAAAGAGAAGAAGAGGAAGGACTTCCGGTCAAGATAGTGGTGTAGGCAGACACAGCTTGCCTCTTCCCACAACCACATCAAAATTGCAACTAAAATACAGAACAACCATCACTCAGGAACATCAGAAATCAAGCTGAATGGAAGTCTGACAACTATGGAATTAAAGAAAGAAATCACATCCATCCAGACTGGTAGGAGGGGCACAGATGTGAAATGGGCTGGTCCCATGCCCACGTGGATAAACATTCAGGAGGAATATCTCAGGAGCAAGGAGTCCCAGACCCATACCAGGCCCCCCAGGGTTCCAGTGCCTGGAAGATAAGTCCCCACAACTTTTGGCTGCAAAAACCAGCGGGGATTGAGTCGGTGGAAGAAACTGCTGGAGCCCCAAGCAGTTCCTCTTAAAGAGCCCACACACAGACTCACCTACTCAGACTCATTCCCTCTGAGCTCCAGCATTGGGGTAGCAGCTTGAAAGGCACCAGTGGTATAGAGGGAGAAACTGAAGTGTCTGGCAGCAAGATGAACAGAGACCATTGTCCCTTTTCTGAGCCCCGCTGCCTCCTTGCCCTCTACAGACCTGGTAAACAGGTGCCATATCTGAGACTCCATCAAACTGGCTAACACTGTTTGACCCCCTCTTGGAGATCCCAAGAGACTCTGCCCCACACAATTTATGAGCCCACCCAAGCTGCTTTTCCATAACAATGGCTGGTTTTAGCTCCTAAACCCTATCAAACAAGCAATGGCTGGCTTCGGTGAGCCCTAGCAGCAGCTTCGCTTCATCTGGTAATCTCCAAGCCCTGCCGCCATCACAGATTTCTTTACAGCTCAGGAAGGGTGCCCCAGGCAAAACACAGGTGGGGGCTGACCTTGGCCTGCACCACCTGGGAAACCCCAGGGCCAGCACACCCAGTGGACAGTTGTAGACCATGTTGGAGCATCACCACCCTGCCCCTGCACAGCTGATCCTCCACGGACGGCGGAAGTTGGTGGTCATGGTCATAGCCAGTCCTTGCAGCTGACTGGCCTGGGTAGATCCCTCCCACTGATCTGCCAACAGCAACCAGGACTCAACTACAAGAGGAGGGTATACTCAGCTCACATGAAGGGCACAACTCGAGTACCCAGCTTGGGTGATAGGGGAGGCTGTGCCACTGGACCCTACAGGACACCTCTTATATTAGGCCACACGAACAAGACACAGAGTCAAAGCAGCTCTATCTAATACATAGAAACAAATACAGGGAGGCGGCCAAAATGAGGAGACAAAGAAACATGGGCCAAATGAAAGAACAGATCAAAACTCCAGAAAAAGAGCTAAATGAAATGAAGATAAGCAATCTATGAGATGCAGAGTACAAAACACTGTTTATGAGGATGCTCAGGGAGCTTAGTGAGGACCTCAGCAGCATAAAAATGATCCAGTCAGAAACGAAGGATACACTAATTGAAATAACAATTTACAGGTAAACAACAGTAGAGTGGATGAAGCTAAGAATCAAATCAATGATTTGGAGCATAAGGAACCAAAAAACAACCACACAGAGCAACAAGAAGAAAAAAGGATCCAAAAAAAATGAGGGTGGTATAAGCAGCCTCTGAGACCACTTCAAGAAGTCCAACATTCGCATCATAGGGGTACCAGAAGGAGAAGAGAAAGAGCAAGAAATTGGAAATCTATCTGAAAAAATAGTGAAAGAAAAATTCCTAATTTGGTGAAGGAAATAGGCATGCAAATACAGGAAGCACCGACAGTCCCAATTATGATGGATGCTAAGAGGCCAACTTCAAGACACATCATAATTAAAAGGCCAACCTTTAAAAATAGAAACTCTTAGAAGCAGCAAGAGAAAAGAAGTTAGTTACCAGATGGTTGACAGATGGGAGGGTGGAGGGGGAGAATGGGTGAAGAGTGAGGGGGTTAAGAAGTACAAACAGGTAGTTACAGACTAGCCATGGGGATGTAAAGTACAGTATAGAAAATGGAGTAGCCAAAGAACTTATACACATTACCCATGGACATGAACAATGAAGGGGATATTGCCTGAGGGAGTAGGGGGTGCTGGGTGGAGGGGGGCAAAAGAGGAAAAATCAAGACAACCATAATAGCATAATCAATAAAATATAGTTTTAGAAAAAGAAGAGGAAGCCATGCAATCTGAAAGGCTGTATGAGAATCCACCACGAATGGGGTCTGGTCCACCACAAGATCTAGTGTGTAAGGAGGAAGCCACATGGTTTGTAGTAAGAGCATGCAACAAGGCTTCCCTGTGGGGAAGTTTGCTAACCCTTTGGTTTGCAATCCAGCGCTCAATCCACTGAGCAACACCAGCCAGGGCTGCACATTTTTAACTAAATGGACTGCTGTGACCAAAAGTTATTTAGAACATCAATGGCCATTGTGGGGAACATCCCCAAAAACACAAGTCCTGTGTAATATGATGTCTCCTTAGTATGCGGTTTCAAATCTAAGCTCCTACTTTAAAATCATATAGGGGAAAATGCAATAATTAAATAAATAAAAATAAAATCATCATATACACTAGGTTTGTTAAGTTTTTATTTTTGTGCTTTTTTTCCCCCTGCTAAACTCTGCACTTGTTGCTTGTTGAACGCGGACACAAGCAATTTGGATCATGCATTTTCCCTCCAACATTTGACAGAACACCCAGAAGAGGTCCTTCTTGGTATCAAGGGACAAAAGGCTGCTGATTTCAGAAGACATGACTGTTGATCAGCCGTGCTTTCAAAGATCTCAATCAAAAGGGTCAAATGTCAACCTTGATAACACACTTGAACCAAGATAAGAATGTGTTGCAGGCCAGGTCCCCGGTTGGGGGCATGTGAAAGGCAATTGGTAGCTGTCTCTCTCATACCTCGATGTTCCTCTCTCTCTCCTCCCATCTCTCTAAAAATAAACTAAAAAAAAGAATCCCTGAATGTGTGTCACAGGAGTCCTTAAGCCCTCTGTCAGTTGTGGCAGCCCTCCAGGAAGAACTCTATATGGTTTTAATATCTTCCTCTTCCCCTCTGTAGAATTTCCTCTCCTTTGTTTATCCAGCTTGCTATGGCTGCACTTATGGGATTACATCCTTTATTCTTCCCTGAATAAACACTTTTTGCTGAAGGAATACCTGGCTTTTGGTTTATGGTCAATGCCATGAAACCATGAACTATTTAGCTACTCTCAGACTCCGTGTTTTTTGTTTTGTTTTGTTTTTTACATTTGTGAAGTGAGGATTCTTTTATTTAAAGAAATATTTTCTTTACTTATTTTCACAGAGAGGGGGAGGGAGGGAGAAAGAAAGGGAGAGAAACATCAATGTGTGGTTGTCTCTCATGCATCCCCTGCTGGGGACCTGGCCTGCAACCCAGGCATGTGTCTGACTGAGAATCAAACTGGCAGCCCTTTGGTTCACAAGCCACTGCTCAATCCACTGAGCCACATCTGTCAGGGCTGAAATGAGGATTCTAATGGTGCCTGTCATATGTCTTGTGAAAGTTAAATCAAGCATGAAATTAATATTAGGTTCTGTGATTACTTCTTTGTGATTGTCCTGTGAGCTTATTGTCTGTCGTCCATCAAGCCTATTCTAGCTCTAGCCACATCAGGAGACTGACCATGAATTCTTAATATAGTACTCTCCCTTGAGGAGAGCAGTCTGCTCCTTGAAGATAGATTGATTACATTGGGTTCTTTCTACTCTAGGGAGACAGTGATTCATCCTTTTGGAACTGTCAACATGTCCTGACTACAGCACCTCCACATCAGCCCATATGTCCAAAGGCTTGCACAATTCCAAATCACTGACATGGAATCAATCCTGCATAACACTGCCTCATATCAAGAGTTCCATTTTATGGTAAAACAGGTCAAATATTTCTATGTAGCAAGCCTCTTAAAACCTCAATTGTGTAAAAAAAGAAATGATTTATTATTTCTCATGATTCTGTGGAATATAGCCAAGTTTTAGCTGGGCTGTGGGCTCTTCAGTACTAGCTGGTATTGACCGAGTTCACAAAACTGCTTATATGAAACTGGGCTGAGTGAAGGTTCAAGAAGGCTTCACTGACATGCCTGTCTCTGTACATGAGATTTCAATCAGCAATCTAGCTCCAGCTGCTTCATAGTATGTTAGCTTACTGCCACCAGGGAAGGAGTAGAAGCTGTCAATCCTTTTAAGGTGTAAGCTCAAACCCCAAAACTTTACTCTTACCGTTATCTATCAGTCAAAGCAAGTGAAAAACCAATGCAGATTGAAGGGGAGGTGAAACAAATCCTACTTTTTGATGTCAGGAACAGCGTGTGTGTACAAAGCTGTGAAGAATTTCCAATAGCCATTTTTGGAGACTGCTGACCACAGACCCCAATACTGACATCTCATAATTTCTCTCATTTACTGCTTTATGGAATTTTTCCTTGTCCCACCCAGGAGCTTCCCAGCTGTCACTGAGGCCCGAGATAAATACACATGTGCAACCTAGAAGCACAGAAAAGTTATATTCTATGGCAAAACTTAAACTTGGACCAACTGGAGGTGAAATCTGGTGGACAAATCTGTGTTTCTTCTCTTATATACTCCTAGCCCCCACTGGCTATCCTGAGACACAGCAGTAGTCCATATCCTCTTGGTAGACCACCTTAGGGCAAGCAAGCAATCCAAAGTGCCTGAGATCAAATAATAGTGGCCAGCTCATTAACTCACCCTTGTTTGTGCTCTCCTTCCATGCCTCACTCTTTCAGCCCCAATTCCTAATTCCCTGGACCTGAAACTCTTAATAAAGTAGCAGCACAAAAGCTTCTCTGTCAAGCTCTACTTTCTGGGGAACTCAAGTTAAAACAAGAGACCTGCACTAAAGGAATTTATAAAAAATGTCATTTAGAAAGAAAATTAAAATAAATGGTACTAGGATTTCTGGTTATTCAAATGGAAAAGAAAATAAAGTTACTTCCTTACCTCACATTAAATCTATTCCAAACTGAATTGAGGATTTCGAGGTTAAATCAAAACTTTAAGACCATTAGAAGTAATGTGGAAGAGTAACTTGGGGTAGGGCAGGATTCCTTAAACAAGACACAAAAAGTACTAATCACAGGCCTGGTGGGGTGGCTCAGTTGGTTGGAGCATCATCCTGTACACCGAAATGTTGTAGGTTTGATCCCCAGTCGGGGCGTGCATGAGACAACCAGGGTGTTTCTCCTGGTGGGGATTAGAAAACAAAATTAAGCCTGGCTGGTGTGGCTCAGTGGACTGAACACTGGCCTGCAAACCAAAAAATCACTGGTTCAATTCCTGGTCATGGTGCATGCCGGCTTCTTCCTCTTGTCCCCTCTCTCTCTCTATAAATAAATAAATAAATAATATATTTTTAAAAAATTTAGCCCTGGCTAGTGTGGCTCAGTGGATTGCGCGCCAGCCTGCGAACCAAAGGGTTGCTGGTTCAATTCCCGGTCAGAGCACATGCCTGGGTTACAGGCCAGGTCTTCAGTAGTGGGCATGGGAGAAAACAAGTACACATTGATGTTTCTCTTCCTCTCTTTCTCCCTCCCTTGCCCTTTCTAACAATAAATAAAATCTTTTAAAAAAGAAAAATTAAAAAGTACTAATTATGAAAGATACATTTTTCCTGTATTAAAATAAAAGCTTCTGTTTATCAAAAGGCACCACAAAGTGAAAAGAAACAAACTGAGGTATTTATAACAAAAATCACTGAGAAAAATTTAATATTCAAAAGAGATCGGTGCCATTCAACAGAAAACTGGGCCGGAGAAGAGAGAGTGTCTTGGCCAGTAAACATGTGGAAAGATGCGTTTAAGAATCGTGGAATGAGGCCCCCGCTGGTGTGGCTCGGTGAATTGAGTGCCGGCCTACGAACAAAAGGGTCATCAGGTCGATTCCCAGGCAGGATACATCCTGGGTTGTGGGTCAGGTCCCCAGTTTGCAGTCTCCCACATTTATGTTTCTCTCTCTTTCTCCATCCCTTCCCCTCTCTAAAATAAAATCTGTAAAAAATAATAAAACCACAAGCAGATTCTACTTGAAAACCCATCGAAACGACACAGCTACCACCGCCCATTCACGCCCACGCAGCGCTGGATACCCCCCGCCCCCCGCGCACTCCCGCTTCAGGCGCGGCTCGAAACTCTACCAGCCGCCAGATGTGGGCCGGGATCCGCCAGCCCCGCGGGACTGGGAAGGAGGGTCCAAACAGATCCCCACGGGGGCGTGGCCAAAATCCGCGTTGCTTAGCAATCAATGTCAGCCAGGAGGCGGGGCCCACTCCTGCGCGCTTCCGTCTGTGTTCCCTCCGAGCACTTGGTTGCCGGAAGTGACGCTCAAGGGCGAGGGGGGCGGGGATGAGGAGGGCGGCGGCGGCGGTACTGGTGGTGTTGTCTAGAGGGCTCGGGGGGCAGGTGAGTGAAGACGGTCTTGTACTTCACCACGCGCGTGCACTCTGCGGGGCCCCTCCTCTTCATTCCATATCTGGGCTTTCCCACTCGGCGACCCAGGCTTCCAGGAGACCCCAGGCCCGAAGGACGCCGCTCGAGCTCGCGCCCACCTCTCCTTGGTATTCGAGTCCACGCGTGTCCGTGCAGCGGTGTGGTTGGAAAGGCTGCCGCAGAAGCTGGAGCCAGCCGGCTCCGCCGGCCCTTCCATCCTCAGAGGGTCAGGAGGTCCCATTTCCGCAGCCTGTATTTAAGTTGCGTTCAGTTTGAGCTCTTTTCCACCCGAAGACAGGATTCAAATCCCGGTAGGAAACTTCCCACCCCATGTTGCCTGCACAGTAGGTAAATAGCCATTGCTGCTTATGCTCTTGAGGGTGCTGCCTGTGTTGCTTAAGATTAATTAAAAACATGGTAATACTAAAACAGAATGTCCACAAGAAGTTCTTGCAAGGGTCAGATAGTCAGAATATTGTTAAACAAACTGGCAAAGTCACCCAAAGCTCCGCTGATATTTACTCATTTGTAGGAAAGATCATTCATGTATAGCCTGTCTTACTGAACAAAAGCAAGGCGGAATTTAAAAGGAAAAAAAGAACGCTGTCTTCTCTGAAAGAGTTCCCACCTCCTCATTGAACTGATTGGCTGATAGCTAGCAAAGAGAGTTCACCCTTCAGCAGAATAAGTTAATCAGGATAGGCAATTGCAGTTTCTTGCTTTTCTTTTAGAAACCCTTTCAGCTAAGGAGCTTGTGTTTTGTGCTTATCTCCAAGTATTGGCTGCTAACGTCTTTCTATTGCCACCTCCAGATCTCACCACTTCTTTCATTACAGTTTCACAGTGAGCATACAGCAGCTTAGATTGACTCAACAAATACTGAGTGTCTGCTGAGTGCCAGGCATAGTACTAGGTGCTGAGGTTATAGCACTCGACAAAACAGAAAATTCTTGTCCTCAAGGAACTTCATTTCTATAGGAGAATACAGATAACAAATAAGATAAATAAGCAAAATATGGATAATGTTAAAGAGAAAATTCAAAGCAAGGAAGGATGAAATAAAGGGAATGACCCTGGTATCATTGGGACATTTTTAAAGGCATTTTACCAGTTTTTGGATCCTTGTTGCATTGATTGGAGTGCTTTTGGTTTCAAGTGTCAAGAATACATTAAAAATAGTTCAAACTATGGAAGATTCCACTGGCTTTCATACAGGAAGGTCCAGAGGACCAGAAATAGATGGGGCCAAGGCTTAAATGAGATCAGGATTTGGTAATGTGGTGATGGAGGGTGGTCTTATTGGTCCCCTATTCTCTCACATAGCTGCTCTTTATTACTTTTTTTCATCCACAAATTCAAACACTATCACAGTTTCTGTGTGTCTTAGGTGATTATGGTTTATCGCCTGTGACTCAGTGCGTGTGGAGCAGTGTAAAAGGGCAGGTCAAGGTGGAGTGGACTTTGAAGGCATAGTGGGAGTTACTAGGTGAAGACAGGCAGAGGAACAGTGTGTTCAAAAGATCAGCATTGTGACTAGGGGAACAATTCTTGGGCATAGGGTTTGGGAGAGATGACACCAGAGGTAGGCAAGAGCCAGGTAGTAACAGACCTGGAGCCAAACAGGTGTGTGAGCTTTGTTCTAAAGTTGTTAGTGGTCTTTCAGGAGTTTTTAAGCAGGGAATCACATGATCATGATTTATTTTAGGACGCTGTCTCTTGCAGCTTGAAGGATAGAAGATTTGAAAGGGGCACAGAAATCCAGGTAAGGAGTTATAAAAATATGACCTAGAGTGGCTGTTGGAAGGAGGAGCTAAATTGAAGAGACAGATAAATTGAAGAGACAGAATTTGTTGGATGTTTCAAAAATGTACTGCATATCTTACTCAAGCTTGGTCTTTATAAAGCCCACAAATTTAGTGAATTTTGTGCCCTTTCTCATTTTGTAAAATCCTTCATGGAGCTTAGGTTGTCTAGATGTGGTGTCAAAAAGTAGAAGAATAAGGAGGAGAGGAAATGGGAGTAGGGGAAGAATGCCGATTCCTAACTGAATGCCCAGGAAGCAGATGTTGAGAGATCAAGGAACATAGCTAAAGAGGAACAAATTAAAAATTGGAAGTGGGGCCTGAGAGACAAGTGCACTGGCTTATAGATGAAAATGATCAGCTACATGTTGGTAATTGTTGAACCTGGGTATTGGGTACATGGACTGATGATCTCCACTTTTATGAATATTTAAACACTTATCAAAAAGTTATTTTTTCAAAGTATATTTTACTGATTATGTATTACAGTTGTCCCATTTTTTCCCTACCCTTTATTCCCTTCCACCCTGCACCCTACTCCCTCTAGCATTCCCCCCATCTTAGTTCACGTCCATGGGTCATACATATAAGTTCTTTGGCTTCTCTATTTCCTATGCTATCCTTAACCTCCCCCTGTCTATTTTGTGTCTACCAATTTTGCTTCTTATTCCCTGTACCTTTTCCTCCATTTGCCCCCCTCACACTCCCCACTGATAACCCTCCATGTCACCTACAGTTCTGTGATTCTGTTCCTGTTTTAGTTGTTTGCTTTGTTTTTGTTTTTTAGGTTCAGTTGTTGATAACTGTGAGTTTGTCATCATTTTACTGTTCATAGTTTGGTTTTTTTCATAGATATGTCCCTTTAATATTTCATGTAATAAAGAGTTGGTGATGATACACTCCTTTAACTTTACTTTTTCTGGGAAGCACTTTATCTGCCCTTCCATTCTAATTGATAGCTTTGCTGAGTAGAGTAATCTTGGATATAGGTCCTTGTCTTTTATGACTTTGAATACATCTTTCCAGCCTCTTCTTGCCTGTAAGGTCTCTTTTGAGAATTCGGCTGATAGTCTTATGGGGACTCTTTTGCAGGCTACTCTCTCCTTTCCTCTTGCTGTTTTTGAGATTCTCTCCTTAACTTTAATCTTGGGTAATGTAATTATGATGTGTCTTGGTGTGGTCTTCCTTGGGTCCAACTTTTTTGGGACTCTCTGAGCTTCCGGGACTTGCATGTCTATTTCTTTCACCAGATTGGGGAACTTTTTCTTCGTTATTTTTTCAAATAAGTTTCCAATTTCTTGCTCTTCCTCTTCTCCTTCTGGCACCCTTGTGATTTGGATGTTGGAACATTTAGAGTTGTCCCTAAGCTTCCTAAGCCTCTCCTCATTTTTTTGAATTCTTGTTTCTTCATTCTGTTCCAGTTGAATGTTTATTTCTTCCTTCTGTTCCAAATCGCTGATTTGAGTCCCAGTTTCCTTCCCTTCACTGTTTGTTCCCTGTATATTTTTCTTTATTTCACTTTGTATAGTCTTCACTGCTTCCTTTATTGCATCTGTACTCAATCATTTCTGTGAGCATCTTGATTACCATTGTTTTGAACTGTGCATCTGATAGGTTGCCTATCTCCTTGTTGCTTAGTTCTTTTTCTGTAATTTTGATCTGTTCTTTCATTTGGTCCATATTTCTTTGTCTCGGAGCACCTGTTATGTTGTAAGGGGAGGAGCCTTAAGTATTCACCAGGGCAGGGCAACCCCACAGCTGTGTTGTGGTGATGTATGTGAGGGAGGGGTCAGAGAGGAACAATGCTGCCTCCTCAGCTTTAGGCCCATTTTCAGTCACTTTCCCCCACTACCCACAAATGAATCGGGCCGTTCTCATGCTGATTCCCAGGTGTGTGGGTTTGTGTACGTTCTAGGACCCTGTGGGTCCCTGCAGTGGACTCTCCTGTGAGACTGGGAGTTTCTCCTGCCACTGCAACCCCCACCGGTTTTTACAGTCAGAGGTTCTGAGGCTTTATTCCAGAGGACCCACGCTGGAACCCTGTGTTGCACAGTCTGTGTTGCTCCCCAGTTGTTCCTCCCGGTTTATACACATGTGAATGTGGGACCACCTTGTCCACCAGCCACCACCTTGCCATGCTTCCTCTCCACCCTGGCTGCCCATCTCCTCCCCTCCTACCAGTCTGGATGAATGTTTCTTCTTTAATTCCTTGGTTGTCGAATGGAATTCCTGTCCGTTTTGGTTGTTTTTTCTTTTTAAGTTGACTGTTGTCCTGTTTTTAGTTGTGTGAAAAAGCAAAGTATATCTACCTACGCCTCCATCTTGTCCAGAAGTCATCAAAAAGTTATTTAAAATAATGATTAAAAAGTAAGGAAATTTACATTAAGTCCTACCTGTCTTTTAGTGTTGATCAAAAGTGATCAAGTAAAAAAAAAAAAAATTCAAGTAAGAGTTATATGTTTATCTTTTTTGAGAGTTTTCGTTTCTCCTTCTCCCTTTTATGTAAGGATAAAAGTAACAGTGATTTTTAGGCCCTGGCTGGTGTGGCTCAGTGGACTGAGCACCAGCTTGCAAACCAAAAGGTTACTGGTTCGATTCCCAGTCAGAGCAAAAGCCTGGATCGTGGGCCAGGTCCACAGTTGAGAGCATGTGAGAGGCAATCATTTGATGTTTATTTCCCTCTCTTTCTCCCTCCCTTCCCCTCTCTCTAAGTATAAATAAATAAAACCAAAAAAAATTATCACTGATTTTGGAGGGGGGAGCAGTCTGAGGATATGAAACCTGCCTTAGAATTCAGGAAAAAGGCTTACTCTATGTTATTTTCTGGACAATCCTATACAACTTATTCTATGTAATAGTTACTTGTCTGAAATGCAGATAAATACTCCTCCTTAACTTATTTTTAGGAGGTACTGTGAGCCATCCTCAGTTACTTTAAAAGTTATACACTTGTTTAAAAGAAAGGAACTGTGTGTGGAAGTTTGTGAGTGACCACATATGCTGTGGCGCATTTGCCTTTATCCAGGCCCCATGACTTTCAAATATGTCCTCATTTGAAATATGACTAAGGGCCTATTCTTTGTCTTGGGCTTATTTGCTTGGTAAAGAGAGGAAATAGTTGTTCAGTTGTAAACAGTTGAACACTGTAGCTGTCATTGTCTGACTTTCGCTTTGCTCAGCTGAAAGCCCAGTGTTGCCTAGTTGGACATTGTGGGTGTCTCCCAAATACCCATGGGGAACTGTCAGGATGTTTGGGCTGCTCTTGGCCATGACACAGACCTCCTAATGTAAAAGACCGTCTGAAACCATTTTTATTGAGGGACAAGCATTTGAGCACACTTGATATAAGGTCAATTAGTGATTACAGATCATGAAGTCTGTGCAAGAAAACAGGCCCTGAGGTGAAGAGAATGTGCGTTATTATACCCACCCTCTTGTTCAGGGCTCCACAAAATTTCCCCTTCTTTTAACAGACACTCACTGAACGTCTGTCAGGTGTTTGGCACAGGGGATGCAACAGAGTCCTCCTGCCCATAAATAGCTGCCAGTCAGCTGCAGGAGTGGCATCCTGAGTGCTTTGAAAGAAAAAGGCCAAGTTCTCTGGTGTGGAAGGTAGCTAACCCTGGGTCGGGAGTGCTCACACGAGGCTTGATGCTCTTCCAGCCGAAGCTTGGAGGACTGAGAGAGAGAGCTTCCCAGGCAGGAGAACCAGCATATGCAAAGTGTTGAAAATCAATATTCCTTACTGATCAAGTCATAGCACAAGCTAAGTGGACAAAGGTAATGTAATAAAACAACACATGCCCAATGACTAAAGTAATCCCCCTCTTTATTCGTGAGGGATATAGCAAGACCCCGGTCGATTCCTAAAATCACAGATAATACCAAACCCTATGTAGACTATGTTTTTTCCTCTCTATACATACCTATGATAAAGTTTAATGTATAAATTAGGCACAGAAAGAGAAAAACAATAATAGCTAATAATAAAATAGAATAGTTATAACAATATAGTATAGTAGGCAATCTGCATGTGGTCACTTGTGGCCCACATTTAATATTTTCAGACCTTGGTTGACTGTAAGTCACTGAAACCACAGGCGAGGGGGGACTGCTGTACACGACAAGATACAGCATATGCTGTTCTGCATAATTCCTGTTTTTCACAAAATAGTCCAACAGGGTACAAATTAGGTGTAAGAATTCCCCAGAGGAAACGAATCTCTCCTCTCTTCTAGACATTAAGAGTGACTTTAGCTCTGAACAGGTGTGACTCATTTGGTTGGACGTTGTCCTGCAAAGCAAAAGGTCGCAGGTTCCGTTCCAGGACAGGGCATGTGCCTGGACTGAAGAGTTGGTCGTCAGTTGTGGTGCATATGAGAAGCAACCAATCAATGTTTGTCTTCCTCTCTTTCTCCCTCCCTTTCCCTCTCTCTAAAAATAAATAAATAAAATTTTTTTAAAAGAGGGACTTCTGATGTCATCAGTATGTAGTGCTAGTGTGGTGAGGTGATCTTTTCATTTTTTTAAGCCATTGACAAAATCCTTTCAGTTTCTGTCAGTAGCTGGTGAAGCTGGATAGTAAAGGTAACCTTATTCAGAGCTTTTCCCTAAGTATTCCTTATGTATTTCTTCCATTTAAAAAAACTTGTCTGCTATTTCCTCCAAGTATATCCTCTACATATATAAATGTATTTTTCTTTCTCTCTGTTTTTAATTCGCAGGTATGCTTTTTTCCCTTCTGTTTTATTTATTTAAATCTGAAGTAGCCTTGATTTGAATAATGCCTACTTTGTAAAATTGTCACTTTAGTATAGTTGAGGAATGCAAAGAGTAGATACTCTTTGAGTGGTGGAAAGCATTCACTTGGCTGTGCTAGAATTTCCAGGCACACACAAGTAAAAACGTCTCCTTCATTATTCTGTCACAGAAATCGAACTCTAGTACCTACTTCTCAGAA